CCGTGTGGAAGGTGCTTGTGGCGTGCTTGGCCTCTTTGGCCTTGCCGGCAGCGCACGCCAGCCAAGGCACATGCCAGTGCGATGGCATCGCCGACTGGGACGACCCCAGCTTTGGCAGGTGCGATTGGTGGGGCGATGTCCACATCACCAAGAGTTGGAATTCCCCCGCCGTCTTTGACTTCCAGTCTCTTGGCGTCTACTCCTATGCTTCGACCACAAAGTGCGGAGGGGACTTCGAAATGCAGATCTTCCAGTGCCCCTACAGCAAGAACGGGAATGCGGTGGCCATCGGCGTCGCGGTGAAGCTGAACGACGGGGACGTGGTGATCGTTGCCAACGACACGGTGACCAACCCAAACGATGCCGACGTTTCGACAGAGAAGATCGAGAACCTGAAGAAAGGTGTCAACATCCTCAGCGACGACAAGTGCATTCGTCTCAACGTGAACACGAAGCTCATCCGCAGGGCCCCAGGTCTGTTGCACAACGGAAACCTCCGAATCATCAACGAGGCTCTGACCAACGAGGGCATCTGCGGTGCTCCGTCGTTCGGCGGTTCCTATGTGTCCCCTGACAGCCCGGACATGCTCTTCCCCGACGAAGTGTTTGAAGACATGTGCGGCTACTGCAAGTCTCAGACCGGCGTCTCCGTTCCAGGCTGCGGTGCTCCGGACGATGGTGATGACGAGCCAGAGATCTCGCCGGGTTGCGAGTTCATGCAGCTGAGGCCCAAGGGCAGAAAGGTCGTGGATTGTGCTGGCGACCAGGACGCCGTGATCGAGGAGGCCAAGGCGGACGGTGAGAACTGTGTGGCCTACGTGGGCTTGGGTAAGTCCTTCTCGTGCTCCGATTTCTGCGCCGAGAAGGGCTCCACTTGCGAGATGGCCATTGACCAGCCGAACGGCCAGCAGTGCGTGGCCTCCGTGTCCAGCCTTGATCAGATTGACACGAACACGGTGAATTGCGACTCCAAGCAGTTCCGGGATCTGCTCTGTGTTTGCAAGAAGCCGGACAACCCAGCCCCAGGGCCCACCCCTGAGGAGGCGTGCGCAGCCACGATGGATGGCTTCACTTTGACGGATGCTGCGAAGCTGTGCCGCGAGAAGGCGGACTGGCTGCAGGGCGTGCCTTACCCGCCCACTGGAGCATCTGGCGCTGCCGGCGAGAAAGAGGCCTTCTTGCGCGCTTGCATCCTGGATGTTTGCTCCGCAGAGCCAGAGGATCGCGAAGACGTGGCGGAGAATGCTGGCGACCAGGATCCCAGTGATCCTCCGGTGCCGCCATCAACGACGACCACGACCACGACGACCAGCACTACTACGACCACCACCAGCGCTGCCACGACCACTACCACCACGACTCCAGCAGTTGTCGGGGATGAGTTGTATGTCTTCGGATTCACTCCCTACGTCGGCTCTTCATCGCCTTACACGCCGGAGGGCGTTGTCGAAGTGGAGTCCCTCCCCGACGGCAACACCCGCCTTTCCTGGAGCCTCACCGGCCTCGACCCGGGCTGCAGCCAGACTTGCAAGAACGACAACTGCTGCGGGGTGGTCATCTACGAAGGTGGGAACCGCGCAGACCAGCAGTCGATAGCGAATGCTCAGCTCGTTGTAGATGGTTTTAGTGTAGGTGACCGCAACATACCGACCTACCAGCACCATTTCATAATTAGGACCACCTCCAAGAGCACTTGTTTACCAAGTCACGGCAATGGCGATTGTCACACGGACTACTTGCGATGCGAAACATTTTTACACGGATCATCTGCAAGTACAAATTACCAGCGATGCCAGCTCGAAGGCGGCGAGTAAAAGCCCCACGGCATGCAACCAAAAGCAACCGGCCCATACACGTAACGATTCTGAATGATTCTGCAGCAACTCTGAAATTGAATCCCGTTGAAAGTTGCCTGTGTTGGCACAGTGCCGGTGTCCCTGTGGAGGCACGAGCTGCGAGGAGCCTGCCGGTGCTCCTCTGTGGCTAAATTCTGTGAGGTACATCACCAGCCCATCGAACGTGCTGTCCCAGGAAGTGAAAACGGGCCTCGGAAATGACGACGTGCTTGGCCGCACTGTGGTGATCCATGACAAGAAAGGCAGAAAAATTGCCTGTGGCATCATCGAGCCGTCCACCACCACGGTCTTCGAAAAGTACCCCAAATACGGTGGTGACCTCCCGTTGACATCCGGTGGTGTCCAGGCGCTCACTCTCTTGACTTGATGTTTGTGCTCTGGGCAGGTGCATGTAGCCACGAGTATCAGCTGTCTCAGTGCTTATAAAAGTTAAAGCATCTCGGTCTAAAGCAAGCTGCACGTCATTGCTGCTCGAAAGGTTGAGTCGGATGATGGAACGCAGATGCTCAGCTGGCTGTTCACTCAAGGCCTCGACCCCCGGTGCGATAAGACCACCTGCACGGCGGCCAACTGCTGTGGTGTCCACATCCACGAGGGCACGACCTGCTCGAATGCTGCCTCCGTCGGCGGCCATTACTGGAACACGGACCTCTACCCGGAAGACCCCTGGATGGGCGTCCGCTATGTGATTCAGGGCTCCATGCCGTCGGCGGTGAACGACCTGAGCGTCACCACGGGCTACAATGCCGAGGACATCGACGGCCGGGCCGTGGTGGTCCACGACTACGACGGTGTTCGGATTGGTTGCGCAATCATCGAGATGCCAGAAGAGGAGCCAGAGCCCGTGGACGGTGATGACTTGTACGTCTTCGACTTGAGCCCTTACGTCGGTTCCTCGTCGCCTTACCAGCCGCAGGGAGTCATCGAGGTGAAGTCCACGGACGACAGCACGACAGTGCTCTCCTGGAGTTTGACTGGCCTCGACCCCGGCTGCAGCGGCACGTGCACCGAAACTAATTGCTGCGGCATCCACATTCATGAAGGCTCGGAGCTGTTCTTTGTCAGCACATGTCTCTTCTAGGGTGCCTAACACGCATTTCCTAGAACTTGAACTAGCTCTGATGCCCTTGCCCCGCAGCGTTGCAGGCATGAGCTGTGCCGAAACTGCGGGTGCACACTTCTGGGATGGTGACGGAGAGGACCCTTGGCTGTCCGTCAAGTACGACTCCAGCACGGACCCTGCAAACGTCCTCTTCGTGGAGGTCGACACGGGACTCGGCCGCAGCGATCTCCTCGGCCGTGCAGTGGTGATCCACGACAAGACAGGCGCTCGCATCGCCTGCGGCATCATCGAGGACCGCATTTCATAATATGACACTTCGTTTCGTGAGCAGCCGGCAGCTAGAGTCTTCGAGGATTTTGCCTGCACCCTCAACATGCAAGCCTCCCAAGCCTTGTGTCCCCGAAGCCCTACAATCCCACACCCTGTCAAGCTTTTGCAGTGCGGATGCTTTCAAAGTGCCGCAGGAGTCCACGACGACCGTCTTCGAGGAGTACCCGAACTACGGGGGTGACTTGCCTTTGACATCCGGTGGTGTGAAGGCCGGGACCCGTGCTCACATGTAATCAGGCGGCACAGTTGCGGTACCGGCACATGACATGGACACTTCTGACCTGATTAGAGTCGATCAGAGTTGAATTAGAGTTGTTGTTGCGCTGCCATTGGTGATTTTGCCCCAGAGGTGGAGTCGGATGACGAGAAGCAGACGCTTAGTTGGCTCTTCACAGAAGGCCTCGACCCCCGGTGCGATAAGACCACATGCTCTGCGGCCAACTGCTGTGGTGTCCACATCCACGAAGGCATGACCTGCTCCGATGCTGATGCTATTGGTGGCCACTTCTGGAACAAGGACCTCTACACGGAGGATCCCTGGATGGACATCCGCTATGTGATCGAGGGTTCCATGCCGTCGAAGGTGAACGACCTGAGCGTCACAACAGGCTTCCCTGCCGAAAAGATCAACGGCCGCGCCGTGGTGGTCCACGACTACGACGGTGTTCGGATTGGTTGTGCCACCATCAAGATCTGCGTGGACAGCACGAGCACTGTGCAGGGAGCCATTGAGAAGCTGGAGGATGCCGTGGATCAGATCAAGGATGCTTTGTCTGACTTGAGCGCAATGGTGAACAGCAGCAGTGGCAAAGGGGGCCATTCCGGCTACCACTCCTATGGCGCTTATGGCACGGACCACGCGGACGATGGAAAGTACAAGTGCAGCCACATCTGCGGCGACATCTGCGGGACCCAGCATCCGCAGCCAGCTCACTGCCAGTCTCAGTGCAAGCAGAGGCAGAACGCCATCCTCGACATCGTCCAGGTCTACTGCATCCAAGGTCTGTGCCCAAGTCTCATTGAGACGAACGAGGAAGTCGGCCTGTTGCAGAGGCGAACAGAGCGAGAAGAGCAAGGACTGGAGGCAGAGGTGGGAGGGCGTTGCCGCGAGATCCCCAAATACTGCCAGCTCTTCTGCAAGCGCGGCTTCTTGCTCCCAGTTGGCGATGGGTACGACGAAATCAAGAAGTGCAGGGAGGAATGCGAGACGAATTTTTCGGCCTTCCAGGTGCCTCTACAGAAGTACGTGGAGGCAGGCTGCTGCGCTGCATGAGGAGCAAGGTATAGCCTTGTGCAGACGTCTTTTAAGCTTGCCGGCGAGGCGAGCGTTAACTACATTTTGAACCAATTTTGTGGAGACCCCGTCTTAGCCAGCTGCTGAAGCACTGGCTTCATAAATACGGTCCCCTTCATCACTAAAGTGATGTGACAGTGGCACTTTGTCAGCAGACTGCTTGTCCAGTGCATTTACAAAAGTCAGGGCTCCAATGCTCCACTTCAAGCCAAGTTGCCCGTTTCATCAACTTCAACCGCTATTAAGTTATATCTATCATCAAGCTATAATGACTGAAGAAATGTCAAGGCTGTATTCGCTGCAATCCTTCGAAGGGTAGCATCCTGAAAAACATAGGGCAAGCTGCGAAACATTACTATGATTACATCATGATTATGACTATGCCGATGACGATGATGCTGATGATGGTGCGATCCTGTGCTATGAGAAAAAGACAACAAACTGACGCTGAAGATGAAGATGTCGATAGTGAGGAGGGACGGGGATGATTATGTCCACGAGAAACGCGCTGGGCAGTGACAATGTTGTCTAGACTGTGAATGCTAACAAAGCTTTGCCGGCTGTTGCTGCTGCTGCGGCCACCGAAAAGATGATGCCTATGATGGCATGAATGCTGAGTTTGGTGCTTATAGTCGCGCTGCTGCAACTTTGGTGATGATTATGCATGATGATGATCGGGCGATGGCGATGACGATCCCCTGCATCATGACTGCGACATTACGATGGTGGTGATGCTGATGATAGTGACGATGCTGATGGCGATGGAAGTGACTTCGGTCATGATGTGCGCGTTAATGGTGACCCAGAAAATGCAGACAATGCAGACGGATCTGGTGGTAGGCACAAAGTGCCGTTGACTGCCATGCCAAAAAACAAGGCAACCGACGCAGTTTCGGCTCCCAGTCAGTATACACTGCATTAGGTGCTGTAGCCAGGGCCGATGAACCGAACCGCGCGGAGAGTGCTTGTGGCGTCCTTGGCCTTTTTGGCCTTGCCGGCAGCGCACGCCAGCCAAGGCACATGCCAGTGCGATGGCATCGCCGACTGGGACGACCCCAGCTTTGGCAGGTGCGACTGGTGGGGCGATGTCCACATCACCAAGAGTTGGAATTCCCCCGACGTCTTTGACTTCCAGTCTCTTGGCGTCTACTCCTATGCTTCGACCACAAAGTGCGGAGGAGACTTTGAAATGCAGATCTTCCAGTGCCCCTACAGCAAGAACGGGAATGCGGTGGCCATCGGCGTCGCGGTGAAGCTGAACGACGGGGACGTGGTGATCGTTGCCAACGACACGGTGACCAACCCAAACGATGCCGACGTGTCGACGGAGAAGATCGAGAACCTGAAGAAAGGTGTCAACATCCTCAGCGACGACAAGTGCATTCGTCTCAACGTGAACACGAAGCTCATCCGCAGGGCCCCAGGTCTGTTGCACAACGGAAACCTCCGAATCATCAACGAGGCTCTGACCAACGAGGGCATCTGCGGTGCTCCGTCGTTCGGCGGTTCCTATGTGTCCCCTGACAGCCCGGACATGCTCTTCCCCGACGAAGTTTTTGAAGACATGTGCGGCTACTGCAAGTCTCAGACCGGCGTCTCCGTTCCAGGCTGCGGTGCTCCGGACGATGGTGACGACGAGCCAGAGATCTCGCCGGGTTGCGAGTTCATGCAGCTGAGGCCCAAGGGCAGAAAGGTCGTGGATTGCGCTGGCGACCAGGACGCCGTGATCGAGGAGGCCAAGGCGGACGGTGAGAACTGTGTGGCCTACGTGGGCTTGGGAAAGTCCTTCTCGTGCTCCGATTTCTGCGCCGAAAAGGGCTCCACTTGCGAGATGGCCATTGACCAGCCGAACGGCCAGCAGTGCGTGGCCTCCGTGTCCAGCCTTGATCAGATTGACACGAACACGGTGAATTGCGACTCCAAGCAGTTCCGGGATCTGCTCTGTGTTTGCAAGAAGCCGGACAACCCAGCCCCAGGGCCCACCCCTGAGGAGGCGTGCGCAGCCACGATGGATGGCTTCACTCTGACGGATGCTGCGAAGCTGTGCCGCGAGAAGGCGGACTGGCTGCAGGGCGTGCCTTACCCGCCCACTGGAGCATCCGGCGCTGCCGGCGAGAAAGAGGCCTTCTTGCGCGCTTGCATCCTGGATGTTTGCTCCGCAGAGCCGGAGGATCGCGAAGATGTGGCGGAGAATGCTGGCGACCAGGATCCCAGTGATCCTCCGGTGCCGCCATCAACGACGACCACGACCACGACGACCAGCACTACTACGACCAGCGCTGCCACGACCACTACCACCACGACTCCAGCAGTTGTCGGGGATGAGTTGTATGTCTTCGGATTCACTCCCTACGTCGGCGCCTCATCGCCTTACACGCCGGAGGGCGTTGTCGAAGTAGAGTCCCTCCCCGACGGCAACACCCGCCTTTCCTGGAGCCTCACCGGCCTCGACCCGGGCTGCAGCAGGACTTGCAAGAACGACAACTGCTGCGGGGTCGTCATCTACGAAGGCGGGAATCGCCATTGGACTCTGTCGTTACTCTTGCAGAAGATGCCACCAGCTAGTTGTAGATTCTGTCGCTACTCTTGCCAAGAGAGCCTACAAAACTATCATGGTCAGGACCACCTCCAAGAAAAACTGCTTACCACTGCAGCTGCCCTTGTGACACGGTTTGTCTTGCAATAGTGGCGATGCCAGCGAATTAATTACACGGATCATCTTTGCACATACAAGCGATGCCAATACGGACGAGTAAAAGCAGTCCGGCATGCACCGACAAGCCAGCCAGCATGCAGACATATATGCAGTTGCAGGCAGTTTGATCCCCATTGAAAGTTGGTGCAGTGCGTTTGGTCCCTGTGGAGGCACGAGCTGCGAGGAGCCTGCAGGCTCTACCCTTTGGGATGGCGGGGTATCGGTGAGGTACACCTCCAGCCCATCGAACGTGCTGTCCAAGGAAGTGAAAACGGGCCTCGGAAATGACGACGTGTTGGGCCGCACTGTAGTGATCCATGACAAGAAAGGCAGAAAAATTGCCTGTGGCATCATCGAGCCGTCCACCACCACGGTCTTCGAAAAGTACCCCAAATACGGCGGTGACCTCCCATTGACATCCGGTGGTGTCCAGGCGCTCGTTCTCTTGATTTGATGTTTGTGCTCTGGGCAGGTGCATGCAGCCACGAGTATCACCTGTCCCGGTCCTTATAACAGCAATTAAAATTACAAATCTCGGTCTGAAGCAAGCTGCAAGTCATTGCTGCATTTGCTGCTCGAAAGGTCGAGTCGGATGATGGAACGCAGATGCTCAGCTGGCTGTTCACTCAAGGCCTCGACCCCCGGTGCGATAAGACCACCTGCACGGCGGCCAACTGCTGTGGTGTCCACATCCACGAGGGCACGACCTGCTCGAATGCTGCCTCCGTCGGCGGCCATTACTGGAACACGGACCTCTACCCAGAAGACCCCTGGATGGGCGTCCGCTATGTGATTCAGGGCTCCATGCCGTCGGCGGTGAACGACCTGAGCGTCACCACGGGCTACAACGCCGAGGACATCGACGGCCGGGCCGTGGTGGTCCACGACTACGACGGTGTTCGGATTGGTTGCGCAATCATCGAGATGCCAGAAGAGGAGCCAGAGCCCGTGGACGGTGATGACTTGTACGTCTTCGACTTGAGCCCTTATGTCGGTTCCTCGTCGCCTTACCAGCCACAGGGAGTCATCGAGGTGAAGTCCACGGACGACAGCACGACAGTGCTCTCCTGGAGTTTGACTGGCCTCGACCCCGGTTGCAGCGGCACGTGCACCGAAACTAATTGCTGCGGCATCCACGTTCATGAAGGCTCGGAGCTGTTCTTTGTCAGCACATGTCTCTTCTAGGGTGCCTCACGTGCATTTCCTAGAACTTGAACTAGCTCTGATGCCCTTGCCCCGCAGCGTTGGAGGCATGAGCTGCGCCGAAAGTGCTGGCGCGCACTACTGGGACGGTGATGGAGAGGACCCTTGGCTGTCCGTCAAGTACGACTCCAGCACGGACCCTGCAAACGTCCTCTTCGTGGAGGTCGACACGGGGCTCGGCCGCAGCGATCTCCTCGGCCGTGCGGTGGTGATCCACGACAAGACGGGCGCTCGCATCGCCTGCGGCATCATCGAGGACCGCATTTCAGAATATGACACTTCTTTTCGTGAGCAGCCGGCAGCTAGAGTCCCCTAGGATTTTGCCTGTACCCTCAACATGTAAACCTCCCAAGCCTTGTGTCCCGAAGCCCTACAATCTCACACCCTGTCAAACTTTTGCAGTGCGGATGCTTTCCATGTGGAGCAAAGTGCCGCAGGAGTCCACGACGACCGTCTTCGAGGAGTACCCGAGCTACGGGGGTGACTTGCCTTTGACTTCCGGTGGTGTGAAGGCCTGGCTCGTGGACCCTTGCTCACGCGTAAGAAGCAGTATAGTCGTATAGGCACAAGGACGGTTCTGACCTGATCATAGAGTTGTTGCTAGCACTGCTGGCGATTGCAGATTTTGCCCAAAGGTGGAGTCGGATGACGAGACGCAGACGCTTAGTTGGCTCTTCACAGAAGGCCTCGACCCCCGGTGCGATAAGACCACGTGCTCTGCGGCCAACTGCTGTGGTGTCCACATCCACGAAGGCATGACCTGCTCCGATGCTGATGCTATTGGTGGCCACTTCTGGAACAAGGACCTCTACACGGAGGATCCCTGGATGGACATCCGCTATGTGATCGAGGGTTCCATGCCGTCGAAGGTGAACGACCTGAGCGTCACAACCGGCTTCCCTGCCGAGAAGATCAACGGCCGGGCCGTGGTGGTCCACGACTACGACGGTGTTCGGATTGGTTGTGCCACCATCAAGATCTGCGTGGACAGCACGAGCACTGTGCAGGGAGCCATTGAGAAGCTGGAGGATGCCGTGGATCAGATCAAGGATGCTTTGTCTGACTTGAGCGCAATGGTGAACAGCAGCAGTGGCAAAGGGGGCCATTCCGGCTACCACTCCTATGGCGCTTATGGCACGGACCAGGCGGACGATGGAAAGTACAAGTGCAGCCACATCTGCGGCGACATCTGCGGGACGCAGCACCCGCAGCCAGCTCACTGCCAGTCTCAGTGCAAGCAGAGGCAGAACGCCATCCTCGACATCGTCCAGGTCTACTGCATCCAAGGTCTGTGCCCAAGTCTCCTTGAGACGAACGAGGAAGTCGGCCTGTTGCAGAGGCGAACAGAGCGAGAAGAGCAAGGACTGGAGGCAGAGGCGGGAGGGCGTTGCCGCGAGATCCCCAAGTACTGCCAGCTCTTCTGCAAGCGCGGCTTCTTGCTCCCAGTTGGCGATGGGTACGACGAAATCAGGAAGTGCAGGGAGGAATGCGAGACGAATTTTTCGGCCTTCCAGGTGCCTCTACAGAAGTACGTGGAGGCAGGCTGCTGCGCTGCATGAGGGGCAAGGAAGCCTTGTGCAGACGCCTTTTAAGCTTGCCGGCGAGGCGAGCGTTAACTACATTTTGAACCAATTTTGTGGCGATGGGGCCAGTTGCTGAAGCACTGGCTCCGTATCTCTGCAGGAATAGCATGGAAAAGCCAAGCGTCAATAGCCGGCATAGTGAAGAATCGTCCATACTGCACAATGTCATTTGCTTTTCCTGCAGTTTCCTTCACGTAGCAGTGGGTTACCATGTCAGCAGACTGCTTGTCTAGTGCCCACTGCGCAACTTTTAGAACCCAATCCCCGACTGCAAATGTGTGGAACCAACCGACGGTTTCGGTCAATTCAGGCTTTGTACATGCATGGGGTCTTATCTGGTTTAGGATTTAGATAAAATATATTTTATATAAAATATTATATATATATATAATATATAATATATTATATATAATATATTATATTATATATAAAGGGGTAGGCAAAACAACTAGGATACCAGGCAAAGGTAACTAGGATACCTATGATGCCACTTTAAACCTGTTCATAACGACTTCCATACTGAAAAAACGCCCGTGACTAAGCCTAAATCCCCAAAGCCCCGAAACTCTAAAAACTTAAACACCCACGCCCTGAAAGCCTAAAGCCCCAAACTCTGAGGGATGAGGGTTTAAGACTTTAAGGTTTTTTGGGGCTTTAAGTCGTCGTCATTGCCATCATCACCATCATCATCTTCAGCATACTCCTCAAACTTACTACTTTGAGATGATTCGGTGTGATAGTCAGGATACGCTTACAACACGCATAACGTAAACTTTGAGATTTGACCAGCTGACGGCCATTTGCACCAACCTCAACTCTACAAACGGATCTGAGATCACACTGTAAGTAAGTCTCTGGATTTCAAGACGATATGAATGCATAAAAACCGAAGGCTCAAGAAACAGACCAGCCGGTCTTATTGGAGTGTGCTCCAACATGTCTGCATGCGAACAAATTGAAACCTGGGCCTTGGACTGATAATCAGCCCTCGCCTCGACCCTCATATCGGCAATGGGTGGGACTTGTCAGAACCTGGCCTGGCTTTGCCTGCTTGTGGGTACTGAAACTGCAGGGTATTAGAAGAAAGCTTTGGGCCTCGGAAGTCAAGACCATACACCTCTGTTGAGAACCAAATCGAGACGAACCACATTTACCTTTAAGGAGTTGGGCTTCGGGATCTAATGAATTATATATATACATATATATATTATGTATATGTATATATGTGTGTATGTATGTATGTATGTATGTGTGTATCTGTATATATATATATATACACGCGCCGATACGTCGATGTATGGATAAAATCTGTGTATAGATTGGGCTTAGATTTCTCAACTCGAGTACGGGCTTACAAGAACTTTCAAGTCGCGAAAGCAGCGCGTGAAAAGTACTGGACCGTTTAATTTTGGGCTTAGTTCTTCCGCAACTGAACAGCGGCCGAACAATCTCAGAAGGAGTTCAGATTTCAGAGTTTGTCATGAACAGTCAGCAATTGTCCTATTTTGCACACCTTGCCAACAGCCTTCTGTTTCGGGTTCAGACCCTGGCAAACATGAGAAACTTGGAAGGTACAAGCAGTTCGGGCCTTTTGAGCTTTTGAGTGCTGGAGACAGTTCGTACAAACTGTTCGCGCGTGTCAGGTGGTAGTGTTCAACAGTTGTACTCATTTCCAGCCATGGAACTACAGCTATCAACGAGACACCCCGAACTCTCTTGCTTGGCAGCCCATATGCAGAGACATCCCAAAAGCAAACTTAAAGTCTTCTCAACTGTTCGTAGGCCATGCCACAACCAAACATTAGGCTTTCCAAACATTCCCGAACTTTCCTTCTGTCAGATGCCTGGAAGCACAAAAACCAAGTTTTTGTTGCTAATGCTTTTTGGCTTGGATGTGTCAAGTCTTTTGAAATTAGTGCTTTCGCGAGTGCCTAGGAGCCGTCAGTTCGCAAGCATTGCTTTGTTCAGTATGCTCCATGTTTCCATACTTCTGGCCGGTGTGGGAAGGTAGACTCGCCCGATGTCTCTTGGGCCCCCGGCTGCCAAGAGCACTGGTTTCCATGGTCAGTTTGTCTCCGGAATCGGAACGGTCGAGGACATTGGTCTCATCAATGCTTTTGGTCCTAAAGTTGGGAACCATTGGATTTCCACATATGTGGGCATGTCAACTAGAACTAGAAGCATTGTACTTCGCAATACGAGCGTACGCCGGAGCTCCAACCGCATTGGGAAAGCCACGGTTTATCATGATGTTCGATTCCCGGACATGTGTGTTACAAAACAGGAACTTTCGGAACATAAAAAAAGATTTCCATGAGTTTGCAGATGCAACTGCATTTGAGACACAATGTAGGGCATTCTTCAATCCAGCCGAAAGACCTTCCGGAAACACACTGGGAGAACCAAGGTGTTCGATTTTTCTTGACTCCGGGACTCCGGGCATCGGGGCACAAAATCACGGGAATGTTGGAATCCCCACAAGAACAACCGTTTCCAAATCTCAAAAAATGGAATGAGCGCGGTTTTTGACCCAAGACGCTTAAGAGTGATGGCGTATGCAACAGGTTTCCAGGGTTCTTGCATGCAACGGCGTTGCTGTTCCAAGCCGTGGAAGCTTTGCGTCAAACTGGTGCAGCCGATTGGTTGTACCTGTACCACTTGCATGGAAAAATTTTCAATCTGATCGGGACTTAACATTGCACGATGTCCAAAGCCATGGCTCTATTTGCAGCGAGTACTTTGTTAAACCATTCTGGTTTCACATGGAGCTTCGGACAGAATATGTCAGTGTTGGCGCATGTAGTACATGATGGTTACATGTTGCAAGATGTCAGTCTTTCGGTGTGTGGGTGTGCGACTGAAAACTTACTTCCCCTATTATTCCCAGTGCATTCCCGCCTACAAAGCACCAGCAAAATTTTGCACATCCGCGCCGCACTGTCATGTATCGGACAGTCAAGATGGGACTGTGCTGGAAAGGCTTTGCAGGCCTAGACTCTAGACAAGCAAAGCACTGCAACCACTTTATGTAACGGGACGCTGAAGACACCTCGAGGATGCTGCTACAAACTTGTACCAATGATTACCTACAAAGGTTTTTCCCGGCCAGCTTTGTTCTTGACAACGCGGGACTTTGTGCGTTTGAATTGAACAACCAGGTTCATGACTGTAGTCGCGCTCTTACGAACACTATTATCTTTGTCTTGGTAGCAGGCAGTAATGCCCACATCAAGTAGAGGACAGCAGCTTCAAAATATGAGTTGCTACACCCACATTTGATCTGGCAAGCAATGGGTCGTGCTATTCAATGTGGCAACCTTGCGCTGCTTCGAAGATGCCTTGAAGGTTCCGATCCGTCGTGCTTGAACTACTTCTAAATGAGGACTAACCCTTGCGAACACCGTTAGCCATAGGAATATGAACAAGAGACACAGTGCCACCAAGACTGCCAGTATGGTGTTCATAAACAAGAGTTTCACGTCAACAAGTGCTTTTGATCGGATGTTGGCATTCGTGCTGGCATGTATGCCGACAAACGGTGTGACTTGACAATGAATGTTTGTATTACAAGAGAAGCTTGCAACCCAGTATGTAACAGTATGCCCGAGCCCATTCAACATGAGCAGACTATGTCTGATGGAACCGGTGCCCAATGCCACTGCTGGCAATGATACCACAATGAGGCCGACAATATTCCCGGGTATTGCATATGTTAAGGTTTGAAGCTATTGAAGACATGAGTGAAGCATGAATAGAGAGTAAGCAGACGACAACATCGACGTGCATGCTCACCCATGTGTGCAAACACGAACGCACACAGATATGTATAAATATACATATATATTTTTTTCTTTTTTATAGGTACATACATATCCAAATAGAAACACATATGTTTACATATACACATACACATGGCACCACAAAAAACACACACACAAGCTAATCAGACACTGCATCTACCTGGGTTCAAGGTTCGTGTCTTAAAACGATGTTGCCGTTAAATCCAAGAGATTCCTGCCATGATGTGCAGCATTCCTGTATATATCACAACACATTCACAGAAACAAACCAGAGGTTAAGACACCCTGCACATCAAAAATCTCTTTCCATTGCTCATGTGTTTCGGATTATCCTGTGCATTGGTTTCTGACGTTTAAACAATGTTTCGCATTTTCGGAAATCTAGACAGTTCAGAAATTCGAATAAAGGCTCAAGCCAAACTTTCCCTAATGTTCAGGAATCTGTCTACGAGAAACTCTGAACATGTTGATCGGTTGCAAAGTTTTCCAGGTTGTGGGACCTTAGGAACGTTTGGGCATTCTTGGAGGTTTTGGATTTTTTTGAGTTTTGGGAGATTAGAATTAGAAGGCAGAAATGTTAGAAGTCTCCGGGCTAGCAGAAACAGGGCGAGATCTTCACGAGATCTTCGCAAGTTCGGACACCTAAGCAAACATGTTGTCGTTCTAGCTGCTACAGAGTCTTACGCGTTTACTACTTGTTATTTGCTATCCACCTGAGGAATGCAGCAATGAACGAAGCCTGTAGTGTCGTGACGGTGTTCATAAACACATTGTTATTAGTGCGCAGACTTTCTTATGTCAACCTCGCATGCTTTTTTAGTAGACGTCGGACTAAGGTATGATGGTCACAGCAGTGTATTTACGCAGTTTACTGGACGATATGTAAACACGCGTCTTCCAGTTCAACATATGACCCACCAGTGGTCAACTCCAAAACCTATGACAATGACAACATATAGCATTTCAACGCGCGCGCCTGCTTAACAAGCTAATACTCCTGTTTAAACGCATCAAGATGGGTTCTTGAAAACAACTCATTGCAGTAATGATACTTCGGTATCGGTACAGTCGATATCATACGACATGTAGACAAGTAGCTGATTTGTCCATATTGCCACTGCTTTGACTCAGGAGGGAACGAATACGAGAAGGTACTCAATGATGCTGCAATGACAA